AATTTATGGTATTGCATTAAGCAGAATTCTTTGCTCTCTAAAACAAGACCAACCGCTTGTCAATACGATACTCCTAGCTGAGATATTGGCTCCTAAACCTCCCCTCCCACATGCCTCACACGGCCTCGCATCCAGCTTATTCAGCAACCTAAACGCCTCTAATGTTGCTTCGTGAGAGTTCGGTTTTTCCGCCATAATTTTATGAATGATTTTCGGTGCAGGTGACTTCGGTGCAGGTGCAGGGTGGAGGTGACTTTCGGGGGCATCGCCTATGCCCTTATCTCCCATTATCTTTCCTAGCACGGCTAATGCCCGTCATGATGGAGCCGCAATGTTTTTTTAATTAAGTCTCTACAACGCAGCTCAGTTACTATATGGTGTAGTAAGAGTACCATATTTGGGCATGTGACATCAATTATCAGCGCTCCAAGTGGTGACGGAAAACGATAGCCAAAATGCTTAGAGGCGTTTAGGTTGCTGAATAAGCTGGATGCGAGGCCGTGTGAGGCATGTGGGAGGGAGGTTTAGGAGCCAATATCTCAGCCTAGGAGTATCGTATTGACAAGCGGTTGGTCTTGTTTTAGAGAGCAAAGAATTCTGCTTAATGCAATACCATAAAACTATTCTAGACTTGCAGGCAAGTAGAATAATGTTGTCGTGAAATAGCACTATTTTCCCGTTTTTTCCGTTGTACACTCTAGGTATTATTAGCTCTTGATAATATCTAGATGTCATTTTACTCGCAGATGCTATACAAGTTAACAGTTTACAGTTATCAGTTCATAATTTATTAATTAGGTGGAATGCATATACTTATACACATAGACACATCTTCTAGAATGCAGGCAGTTGAAAATCTCACACTTATCAATTGTGATGAGTAGCATATTCTTATCTCACAACAGATCTCAGATGTTGGATAAGCACGACATTGAGCCTTGCTGGGCTGACACAGTTGTTTTTGTGGCGAACCCTGCAAAGTAGAAACAGAATCCATTAATTATTTTGATGTCACGTGGGTCCTGAATACCCATCCATCAGCTCCTGCTTACAGTCAACTTAGTAGTATTTTAATATTAAGATAAAGGTTTTATGGCCTCATTGTCCTCAATCTGCATTGCAGTTGAATAACACGGAATTTCATTAGTGTTGCTTTTATCGTTGTTCAGACCTAAAGGACCATTTTTACAGTTGTTTTCTTCTTTTTTCAGGAAACGAGAAAAATTTCTGGCCCAAAAGAACTAGTGAGTTGTCACAAGTTTTACTGCATCCTGATGTATGACAATGGCTGCATCTGCAACAGGAAACATTCCACACACTATCACTTCTGGCAGCTGCTCACCTATATCTGCACACGTCTGCAGAAGTGAGAATGAATTTGCCTCTTTCTAATTTTGCTGCAGAAAGGTTTACCGATGCCGCGTAGTAGCACCAGCCTCATACGTTTAGAATACATGTAGGAATTTGTATATGGTATAGATTCCTATCTGGCTTCAGTGAAAATGTTACTTTTGTACTCTTAGATCAAATGTCGAGGACTACAGTTGCAACCTACAGTCCAAATAGACAATTTCTATTGCAATATATTCAAATTAAAGCTAGTTTAAATTATTCTCATCGATACTAAACAAAGGTTGGTATAACAATGTAGAGTATCTAGAAAATTTAGATAAGAGGCACACTGAAACTGAAGTAGTTATCATTCTAAGACTATTCTGGCAGAAGTTTATATAATTTTTTTGTGAATGAATAGGTAGGTATGTATAGTATATAGAAATGCTCTTGTTTCACTCGCATGTGGGTACGAAATACACTGGTCCCAGCGAGTGCTGGAGGTTGTATTATAATCTGCCGTTTAGATGGTGTAAATATAAGGGATCCGGTTATTCTAAGAAGTACCAAGGCTTAATGTAAATCAGTTTTCTGGTCTAGCTGATCGGTTATAGAACAACCAATCGAGCAGTAGTCTACTTCATAAACTGATTGTCGCTGTACTTGTAGCGTAAGTTTGTATATAGAAAGTGTGCAATTAGGAAAGTGTAATAAGAATAACTACAATGTTCTTAGTTATGTTTGGAAGACCCTGGTGCTTGCATTTGGTCACCTGTTCCAGGCATCCTTTGTGCTAAATAATTATAATACATGTCAAAAACATGGTTTTTAAGAATCCTAACACAGTGAATAATCTGTACCTACTTATAGCTATATCTCTCTGATCTTTCTGTACCGAGGTGAAATATTTTTTTATCAACGCCCTTTCTCTATTTTTAACAGCTCGAGAGAATCTTGTAAATATTGTTAAATCATAATTACTATAACCACGTCACAAGTTTGTGTTTCTTGCTAGTGCAGCTATAAGTTATTAGTGGTGTATAGCATTAGATTTAATAAGGCTTGTAATTATTATTGATAGATACATACAGGATTTCACTAATGTGGGTCCTCCTTTTTTATTTGTGTGCTAATATTGGATTTTATATGGTCAGGTTGTAAATATTAAAAGTTCTCAAAGTATATTAATTGTATTTTGTAATAATTTTACAAGTAAACATCAAGGTCTTTACTTACAATCTTGTTTCATTCCTCAATTAGTTTGGCGTCCTTGTTGCAGCAGGCTCGTAGTTTGAATGATCATGATGCTTGGCTGCTAGGTATCTCTCTGCAGTAGTCCTTTTCTCCGTGGTTGGGTGCAGGCCATCCGATGTGTAGACGTCCTCCAGCTATCGATTTACGTTCCACACCCCTGCAAAATGTTAAAATTAAAGCATTGTTAGGTATAAATGGGGTCTGACTGACGCTCATAGGGTCTATGTCCCCAGGGTACTGCCGGAACGAACCCTGGTAACTATCTGATATGGTAAGCGTTAGGGAGTAGGGTAGGCGACTCCCTAGACTCGTTAGTGGAGTAGGCGAGATACGGTCCGGCATATTAGATAGTGTTGTGCCCAAACTTGGAACTCTTGCACAAATTTGGAATTTCAGCGCATCTGCAGTTTGGGCAACCAATCTTGAAGATTGGGCAAACAGAGGTAACAGAACTTGCACAAGCATATGATAATTAGGATTTCAAATGTTATATCATAACTATAAGGTCGTATACTTCTTTCCTCATAGTGTTTGGCACCCTTGTGATAAAATATTAAATGATTATAATATAATAATTGGATAAATGAGATAAATCTCTTCCTAGTTTGCACCACGCACACCACACACCTGCGGCTATACAGCGCATGATGCTATACACCAACTATCACGAGCCTAGGTCGAGCCGTTTAGATTTGTGCCGCAATTCTGCATTTCCTCCCTATACCTTAAGTTAAGGAGTTAATGTTCCCCCTTCTTTTACACCTCTTGACCTTTGACCTTTGACCCCCAGCTTCGACATCCCAACTCGTTTTGACGATCCCCCCCGATATGACGAATATCGTGACCGTACGTCGAGCGGTTAAGATTTGTGCCCAACTGTTGACAATGACAGACGGACGGACGGACGGACAATCATGCGATTCTACAACTTACAAGCTGCATCCATGAAATATATTTACTACAAAAGTCTTAATGTTTATCTACTCTATTTCGCCTATTACTGCCGATAATTACCGGTAAATGCCGCTCAAATGCTCATCTGCAACACAAGTACACCGAACGCACGCTCAAAACGGCCGCACTGTCCACAAAGAACGCCGGGCATGACATACGCCCCCTGTGTTTTGATTCCGTAGCTCCATCTAGTGTAGTAAAAATGTAACATAACTATTGAGTATGGTGGTTTGATGCAAGCATAGAAATATAGAGACACCGATATAGTCACATATATGACACATAATTATATAATATATAGTCTATCTACTAGTATATATTTATTTCTGTGGATGCATGTTACTTTAATCTTATAAGGTAAAGTCAACCGCCGCGTGTGCTTGACTGTGTGCGTGTTTTTGACCGCGTGTGCTTGACCTACGGCGTTTGCATGTTTAGTTTGATTAGGCCTATTATAGACTATACTCATACTCATATAGGGTCTATGTCCCCCAGGGTACTGCCGGAACATACGCCACGGTACCCTGGGCCTGGGTACGGTCCGGTATACCGGAACGTACCCTGTCACTATTTGATATGGTTAAGGTTAGGATTAGGGTTAGGGCCGGTTATAAACCGACCAGGCTCTCCGACTAGTTACACGGCGTTACTACGCCTCTCGCCACGTAGTGTTAAGCGAGATGGGAACTTGTGGCTAGGCCGGTTAGGGTTTGGGTTAGGGAGTAGGCGTAGGTGACGGCTCAAGGATAGAGAACATGGGTCCCAATAAAAGACGTTTTTGTGCCGATAGATGGCGCCACTATGCTATATACACTGCTCAAACTCCACGACAGATGGCGCTCTCGCTCTGGCTCAATACTACCACTGCCACAAGCTGATTTCCGTAAGAATTTCTTACGCTTTTTTACTATAAGTTTTACAGCGACCCCGTTACTCCTGTCCTATGTAATACGGTGTGTACTTATAAAAGCTGCATGGGCATCGCCTATGCCCTTATCTCCCATTATCTTTCCTAGCACGGCTAATGCCCGTCATGATGGAGCCGGCAATGTTTTTTTAATTAAGTCTCTACAACGCAGCTCAGTTACTATATGGTGTAGTAAGAGTACCATATTTGGGCATGTGACATCAATTATCAGCGCTCCAAGTGGTGACGGAAAACGATAGCCAAAATGCTTAGAGGCGTTTAGGTTGCTGAATAAGCTGGATGCGAGGCCGTGTGAGGCATGTGGGAGGGGAGGTTTAGGAGTCAATATCTCAGCCTAGGAGTATCGTATTGACAAGCGGTTGGTCTTGTTTTAGAGAGCAAAGAATTCTGCTTAATGCAATACCATAAAACTATTCTAGACTTGCAGGCAAAGTAGAATAATGTTGTCGTGAAATAGCACTATTTTCCCGTTTTTCCGTTGTACACTCTAGGTATTATTAGCTCTTGATAATATCTAGATGTCATTTTACTCGCAGATGCTAATACAAGTTAACAGTTACAGTTATCAGTTCATAATTTATTAATTAGGTGGAATGCATATACTTATACACATAGACACATCTTCTAGAATGCAGCAGTTGAAAATCTCACACTATCAATTGTGATGAGTAGCATATTCTTATCTCACAACAGATCTCAGATGTTGGATAAGCACGACATTGAGCCTTGCTGGGCTGACACAGTTGTTTTTGTGGCGAACCCTGCAAAGTAGAAACAGAATCCATTAATTATTTTGATGTCACGTGGGGTCCTGAATACCCATCCATCAGCTCCTGCTTACAGTCAACTTAGTATGATTTTAATATTAAGATAAAGGTTTTATGGCCTCATTGTCCTCAATCTGCATTGCAGTTGAATAACACGGAATTTCATTAGTGTTGCTTTTATCGTTGTTCAGACCTAAAGGACCATTTTTACAGTTGTTTTTCTTCTTTTTTCAGGAAACGAGAAAAATTCTGGCCCAAAAGAACTAGTGAGTTGTCACAAGTTTTACTGCCATCCTGATGTATGACCAATGGCTGCATCTGCAACAGGAAACATTCCACACACTATCACCTTCTGGCAGCTGCTCACCTATATCTGCACACGTCTGCAGAAGTGAGAATGAATTTGCTCCATTTCTAATTTTGCTGCAGAAAGGTTTACCGGATGCCGCGTAGTAGCACCAGCCTCATACGTTTAGAATACATGTAGGAATTTTGTATATGGTATAGATTCCTATCTGGCTTCAGTGAAAATGTTACTTTTGGTACTCTTAGATCAAAATGTCAGGACTACAGTTGCAACCTACAGTCCAAATAGACAATTTCTATTGCAATATATTCAAATTAAAAGCTAGTTTAAATTATTTCTCATCGATACTAAACAAAGGTTGGTATAACAATGTAGAGTATCTAGAAAAATTTAGATAAAGAGCACACTGAAAGCTGAAGTAGTTATCATTCTAAGACTATTCTGGCAGAAGTTTATATAAATTTTTTGTGAATGAATAGGTAGGTATGTATAGTATATAGAAATGCTCTTGTTTCACTCGCATGTGGGTACGAAATACACTTGGTCACCAGCGAGTGCTGGAGGTTGTATTATAATCTGCCGTTTAGATGGTGTAAATATAAGGGATCCGGTTATTCTAAGAAGTACCAAGGCTTAATGTAAATCAGTTTTCTGGTCTAGCTGATCTGTTATTGAACAACCAATCGCAGTAGTCTACTTCATAAACTGATTGTCGCTGTACTTGTAGCGTAAGTTTGTATATAGAAAGTGTGCAATTAGGAAAGTGTAATACAGAATAACTACAATGTTCTTTAGTTATGTTTGGAAGACCCTGGTGCTGCATTTGGTCACCTGTTCCAGGCATCCTTTGTGCTAAATATATTATATACATGTCAAAAACATGGTTTTTAAGAATCCTAACACAGTGAATAATCTGTACCTACTTATAGCTATATCTCTCTGATCTTTCTGTACCGAGGTGAATATTCTTTTTATCAACGCCCTTTCTCTATTTTTAACAGCTCGAGAGAATCTTGTAAATATTGTTAAATCATTAATTACTATAACCACGTCACAAGTTTTGTGTTTCTTGCTAGTGCAGCTATAAGTATTAGTGGTGTATAGCATTAGATTTAATAAGCTTGTAATTATTATTGATAGAATACATACAGGATTTCACTAATGTGGGTCCTCCTTTTTTATTTGTGTGCTAATATTGGGATTTTATATGGTCAGGTTGTAATATTAAAAGTTCTCAAAGTATATTAATTGTATTTTGTATAATTTTACAAGTAAACATCATAGGTCTTTACTTACAATCTTGTTTCATTCCTCAATTAGTTTGGCGTCCTTGTTGCAGCAGGCTCGTAGTTTGAATGATCATGATGCTTGGCTGCTAGGTATCTCTCCTGCAGTAGTCCCTTTTCTCCGTGGTTGGGTGCAGGCCATCCGATGTGTAGACGTCCCTCCAGCTATCGATTTACGTTCCACATCCCCTGCAAAATGTTAAAATTAAAGCATTGTTAGGTATAATGGGGTCTGACTGACGCTCATAGGGTCTATGTCCCCCAGGGTACTGCCGGAACGAACCCTGGTAACTATCTGATATGGTAAGCGTTAGGGAGTAGGTGTAGGCGACTCCCTAGACTCGTTAGTGGAGTAGGCGAGATACGGTCCGGCATATTAGATAGTGTTGTGCCCAAACTTGGAATCTTGCACAAATTTGGAATTTCAGCGCATCTGCAGTTTGGGCAATCAATCTTGAGATTGGGCAAACAGAGGTAAACAGAACTTGCACAAGCATATGATTATTAGGATTTCAAATGTTATATCATAACTATAAGGTCGTATACCTTCTTTCCTCAATGTGTTTGGCACCTTTGTATAAATATTAAATGATTATAATAAATAATTGGATAAATATGAGATAAATCTCTTCCTAGTTTGCACCACGCACACCACACACTCGCTATAAGCGGTTGTTGAATCACCGACTGTTTTTAGTTTGCCCAATCTTGAGATTGGTCAGCCAACCTAGGGAATCCTCAGTTTGGGCAGCACAATCGCTGCACAATCTCGAGATTGTGCAGATTCCAACTTTGGGTACGACATATAGTACCAGGGTACGTTCCGGTATACCGGACCTTACCCAGGCCAGGGTACGTTCCGGCATAGCTCCAAGAAACGGTATTGCTAGGGTTAGAATACCGTTTCAAACCTTGGCTGCAGCTAAACACGTAGTTGCCTTATTTGCCAAGTATCGCCAAAGAACACTACACATGTGATATACCAAATTAATCAGTATACGTCCACCTTCTTGTAACCATCAGTGCGCTACGATGCGCTGGGTAATTACGGGGTTACAGCGGCTTTTTGAGACAAAATTTATGAATTCGCCGCCATGTTTGCTATCATTCCGACTGTGACTAAAATCCGTAATGGATCGAACAAAGGAAATTAAACGATCTGCGGTCCTCATGTAAACCACCCCTACATCCGAGAACATGTCATCTAAGGTTTTTACAAATGGCCCAGACATTTGTGAACATCGTTTCACTTGCTTTGGTGTGTAATTGCCGTGAGAGCCATTGTACTATTTCTGTAGTATTTTCTAGCGGGTCTTTTCCGTTTCGGGTTTTCCGTGCCTCGCTAAACATGGCGCGTAAAGCTGATTGGAAAGTTGATATGCTGCGAGAATTAGCAGATTATACCGTGAATTAAGAGATACATTCTAGTTCAGAAGCAGGACAACTGTGAGTTAACATTCATATTTCAAACAAGGCAAGTCAAAGGTGGTAATAGAATAGTTTTATTTGAGATATACAGAGTTATTCATCTAGATCTGCAGAGGTGATAGGTTTTTTGTATGGAAGGGTGTCAGGCTGTATAGACAATCCGTCGCACAGCCTGGTCGGGCTAGTTCCGGCATAGCTCTAGTACTATAGCCCGCTTACATTAACTGCCGCTGCAGCCAGCCAGCCAGCGGCAGTTAATGTAAGCGGGCTATAGACCCTCTCAGCTTGACTGACCTCATCTCCTCAGAGGCACGCTATAATAACAGAATCAATAACATAGCCTTGCAGTTGCTCCCAGTTCCACAGCCACAAGTAGGCATGGCTGCTCCAATCACAGACGTCACAGCCACAGGCGCAGCCACAGCCCAGTGTGCCACAGGCACTTGGAACGGCTCAATAAAACAAGTGCCGCGGAGCGACAGCGCTCATCTAACGTCTACTGCGGTGACTCTGTGGTGGAGTGGTGGGATTCTAGTAAACCCTGTTAGTCCCAAATGTGTTTCAGCATTACGACGCCGAAACAGCTGGACTCATCACAGGGATGTTATCACGGAACCTTCTCAACAGAATGTTCGGGTGCGATCTGGTTTATCGTTGTTCCACGAGAGCTGTGTACTTTGTTTGAAGTGTCTTCAGTATTTAGAGATGAAGCCTCCCATCGTGCGTAGTAGCTTAACAACTATCTTCTATAATCTAAATAGGTAAGCACTCAATCCAACATTCTTTTTCCTACAGGTGCATATCAGTCGAGACGGGTTCACTGCTTAACATAACAGTTTAACTTGTACAACCACCACATACCAATTGGTGGCGAGGGTGGAGGTGCGGCGATCTGCAAGGCTGGCATACTTACATGTAGACATACTGACAGGTACAGAATGCCATAAATTATACGATTTAAGGGGGGGTAGATAAACCTTCTTAATCAAAATTTAGCTTTAAATATCCTGCTGAACATTGTAGCCTCATAACATCCAGGCACTGTATTAGATTCTACGTGAGCAAACCCGGTCAGTCAAAGTCTTCTAACAGACCATAGTCAACAAATCCATGTTTAACCCCCCATCCTGAGGTCAAACAGGTTATCCTAGCACTTCTCTTCGCATGTTCAGAGACGGCTTATATTTATGCTATTCAATCAAACCAGTAACAAATGCTACGTCACCGCTGAACCAAAAAGTTTTTTTTTCAATCACTCCGTCAGACATGTCCTCAGAAAATGTCTAAAATCTGGCCCTTCCCATTGCCTTGACTCCAACTTTCGGCTACAGTGATGGCTTTTCCTACCATGATGCTATACCACAAACCACTGATCACGTGCTAGCTCGAGCTCCGTTTAGATTTGGCCGCAAGTCGCATTTCCTCCCTATACCTTAAGTAAGGGTAATTTCCCCTTACTTTTACACCTCTGAACTTTGACCTTTGACCCCCACTTCGACATCCCAACTCGTTTGACGTCCCCCCCGATATGACAATATCGTGACCGTACGTCGAGCGGGTTAAGATTTTATACGGTTTGGTTTATTGGCTGGTTTGGTGTATTGGGTTAGTGGCCAACTGTTGTACAATGAAGATCGGACCGGACCGACCGGACGGACAATCATGCGATTCTAGCAACTTACAAGCTTGCATCCGAGATTATTTACTACAAAGTTAATGTTTATTACTCTATCTTCGCCTATTACTCGCGACTAATTGGTACTAAATGCTCGCCTGCATAATGTGTTATCTGCAACACTGGAGCACGTAACGCCACGGCTGAGCAGACGCACTGTTCCACAATAGAAATTTGCACAAAGACAACGGCATGTAATACGCCCTGTGTTTGACCGTAGCTCCATTAGGTGGTTAGTTAAAAATGTTAACATTAATGTTACTATGAGTATGGTGTTTGATGCAAGCCATAGATTTTAATATAGAGACACGATAGGTGTGTACAGTATATGAGGTGTCGTTCCTCCATTATATAATATATAGTCTACTCTAGTATATTTTATTGTCCTGGGATTATCTTAATTTTTATATATGGTAAAGTCAATCCGCGTGGCGGTGGGCCTTGACGGTGTTGTGCGTGTTTTGACGCCCACGCCCGTGTGCTTGACCTACGCTTTGGCATGTATTGATTAGCCTATTATTAGACTATTACTCAATCATATAGGGGTCTATGTTGTTCGGTAACAATACGCCACGGCACCTGGGTGGGACGCCGATCGGTTATACCGGAACGTACCCTGTACTACTTGCGTTAAGTTAGGATTAGGGTAGGCGGTTAGTGTTTGGGTTAGGGAGTAGGCGTAGTGACGCTCAAGACGAAGAAACAAATGCGGTCAATAAAAGGACTTTTTGTGCGATTAGATGGCGCCACTATTGCTAAACACTCTATGTGCGACTGCATATATACAGAGATATATATAAAAATATATATATAACTAATTATATATATATTATATATATATTGTATATTACTATATATCTAGATATATGTATTATCATATATATTGATGATATATGTTACTACATATAATATACACATACACACGTGTTATATAAATATATATAATTATTATATACCTATTTTATATATATATATATATATATATATATATATATATATGCGGATACACAGATATACACACATATACGCATATATACACACACATACACACATATACACACCTCCCCCTCCCCCTCTCTTCTCTTTCTCTCTCTGCGTGCGACTCTGCGACTGCGACTACGTACTTTCCCTATGCATGAATATAAAGCCTTTGCGACCACACACTTTGGCATGGCGATGTGTGAGATGGTGAGTAGGGATGTATATATAATATATATATCCTTATGTTGGTGAGAAAGCGGCGTATAGGTATGTATATACTTCGGCAATGTGGAAATGCTTGCGACTCCTGCGACCGATGCGTGGATATAAAAGCTGTGCGACTAGAAACTTTGAGATAGGGATTTATATATGATATATATATGCTTGCGTTCCCGAGAACGGCATATATAGGTATGTATATACTTGCGAAGGTTAACAAGTGTAGACACAGTGGCGTCAGCGTATGAATATAAATCCTTGCGACGGCACAGAATGAATGCGGATGTATATATTCATAGATATATAGCTGTTTAGCATGTATATATATACGGTCGCTGCGCGATCAGACGTAGCGATAAGGCGGGTAATGGATGGCACGTGTTGGACGCAGTTTTTATGTGACGAGCCCGGGTCACGAGCGAGCGAGCGAGCGACGCGTGTAAATACAGAATACCTACAGCAAGGCGCATGCCAATGAAGGGGGGGGGAGGGCGGTGCGCAATGCATAGACATGACGTGTCTATGTGTGCGTGTGTGCGTGCGTGGGTGCGGGCGTCGCACGTCGGGGCGTTGCTGCCATCAGATGACAAACATCGCGTGTACAGCATCAATGAACATGACGTGACGTGTATATGTGTGAGCGTGTGTGCCTCATTAGATGGTATGGGACGAATGATGATTGATTTTATTTTTTATATTTTCATTATTTTGCAATAAAAACTCTTAACCAACTATTACATTCTTTCTTTTTTCTCAATTTTATTTAACAATTTGGCGTAATAGTAGTACTAGTAGTAGTATAGTAGTAGTAGCAGTGGTAGTAGTAGTAGTAGTAGTAGGCGTATTTAAAAATTTGGCGTAGTGCCGCCATCTATTGGAGGAAAAAAGTGGTATCGAAGTGGAATCGAAAATACGGGGAAAAATATCGAGGATCGGATCGAGGGAAGAAAATCGCGATCCGATTCGATTTCGGTGGATCGTTACAGCCCTACTAGACATAATGATATTTTTCTGTTTCCACCCGTCCCTTGCATTGTTTTGCACAGACACAACATTGCGCTGCCTTGCTGCAACAAGATTTCAATGAAAAAAAGAATGCGAATGAAACAATCGGTGGATACAGTGATATATACAACATGCACACAGCAACATGTAAACCAGGCCCCCAGACCAGGCATGGTCATTACGTGATCAGCGTAAATCTCAAACCTCAAATGTTTGCACCTCTACTGCAACCTGTGAATGAGGATTTTCTTTGCTGATCGAAGTACACAAAAACAGATCCACTGTATACTGTGCTGTCAGTCTATTATATCTGCATGCATGCACCGCTATATTCTCTGCGCTTACGATCCAGCCCCATAAAAAATCTTATGTATTTCTTTATGTTTTTCGGGCAAGTGACTTTTGCCTCCGGGCAACCATTTTCTTTTTTGCACCCTGTCATGGATCAAGGGCTTCCTGACAGAATGCCAGAAAAGTGTCGTCATTGATGGCCAGGCATCCCCTAGCTCATCAGTAATTTCTGGAGTTCCCCCAGGGGACTGTTCTTCGTCCCCTGTTGTTTTTAGCATACATAAACGATCTCACAGAGTGAGTAACATCTGAAGTGAGACCTTTTGCAGATGATTTGATTTTGTACAAAACTATCAACTCCCCTGAGAACTGTGATACCTTACAGGAAGACATCAACTCTTTTTGTAAATGGGAGGAAACTTGGCAGATTAATTTTAATACTTCCAAGTGTTTCATCATGCACGTGATCCATCAGAAAAGTCTCACCACACACCACTATCGCATGGGAAGTTCTACTCTCAAATCTGTGGATCACCATCCTTACTTGGGGATTGAGATATCCAGCAATTTATCGTGGGCTAACCACATAAATCTGACCGTTAACAAAGCAAACAGTATTTTGGGATTGCTGAAAAGGAACATAGGGAACTGTTCCCCTCACACCAAAGAAATTTCTTATAAAAACCTTGAGGCCAAGGCTGGAATATTGCAGCCTAATCTGGGACCCATACCAGAAAATTCATCAGGACAATTTAGAAAAGGTCCAGCGGAGGGTTGTTAGGTTAGTCAAAAATGACTACAGACGCACCAGCAGAGTTACTGATATGCTTTGTGATCTCAACTGGGATACACTTCAAGGCAGAAGGGAAAAGGCACGTCTCATAACTATATATAAAGAAACTCACACACATTCTCCATCCAACATCAGTCACCACCTGGCAAGCAATGCTTCAGCCAGACCCACTACTCGTCAAACACATGAACTGAATTACAATGTCATTCATCCCAACAAAGACTGTTATAGATACTCGCTTTATCCCTTGCCAATACCAACATGGAATGCACTACCACCTACTACCAAGACTGCTCCTGATGTGGCTTCATTTAAAAACTTAATTAACAGCGGTAAAGAAAACGTGAAGAAAATTTAGCGTTTAAGCGATCCATATTGACCTGTACGTCTATAGCCACACCGGCGATTAGTACAGTACCAGACAAGACAAGTACTCTACAATACATTGTCATTACTACTACAATACGAGAAATCTGGGAGTGCATCACCCTTGCCAATTTCTTTACGTCAGGTTTTTAATGGGGTAACCGAGTCGGTAACATCCCAGTTGGCCTACTCCCATTTTGTCTACGTCCCATTTCGCCTACCAATTTTGTCTACTCTCAGAATTGGCAATATTCATATTTTGCCTACTACCATTGTTTCATTTTTATGCTACTGTATATGCTTTATATTTGTGTCAAGTTGTGTTCTCATTATTTGTACCTATGTTTTCTTCTGGTTCCTGCCAATCAAAACCATGTTTTATTATTCATAAATGATTATTTAGTGAACAAACCGATCGTAGACGAAATGGGAATGTGGTAGATTTTGAGCATAGACGAATTGGGAGTATAGGCCAACTGGGAATTTTGTTGTTGGTGGAATGGGAATTTTGCCGTAGGCGAAATGGGAGTAGGCCAACCAGGAATGAACCATTGAGTTGGTACCATAAACAGTTTGATAGATCTAACTGTTTCATTTTCTATCAAGACTACTGGGGAGAAACCCATGTGATTGTCATTGGTCTGTCTGCAATCTGTATCTCATTTTCAGATGGGTGTAAAGAACGTGGAAGTGGAGGTGCCACCCACTAACCTGGAAGTAGAATTTAAAATTCTGCTTACTAGTGGTGCTGTTGAGTTTATTGCTGCCATGGCATCCAAATTTAATCCTAAAGTGGATGAGGTAGGTATACGAGTAGAAAGATGGCATTTCATCCACCATCACATATGCTTTTCACCAGTTACAATATAGTATACACTGCAGCCATATAACGATTGTTAGTATTGCCATGCATAATAGTTGTTAGTATTTATGCAGAGCAGGAATGTATGTGTTAGCAGATGGAGGCAAGTGTCAAGTTGTGAAGAGAGTCTCTTCTCCATGTACATACCATATAATGTGGCCTGTGAGCTAATTAGTACAGTTAGACATTGGTACATGTATGAAGTACATAAACCCAGAGGTTATAGTTGGATATGTTTATTAAAATACACATGTATGTAGATCCTGAGCAACAGAACCATAAAGAAACTTGGCCTCGATGAAGGCGAAAAGCTGCCAGATTTCCCCATTGAGACACAGTACATTAGAGAGATGGAATGGACTTGTGCACCTCTGCCACCTCGCCTCAGGAAGCGCCATGTGGACCTCGGGGATGTTTCACCTGCGAACACGAACCATTTTGAGAGATCATTGCAGTCGAATGCACAGGGAGTACAGGTGAGAGCTATAATAAAAGGTACCTGTAGACTGTCATACTCCACCGGCTAATTCTTAGGTTAAGAAAACAAGACATGATTGGCAGTTAGAACTACACCTAGTGGTTGGACAGCTTTCTCATTGTTTTTATACAGGAAAATGTGAAGGAAAAATGCTAGAAGGACTGCCTGTTATAATAGAAAATATGACAGGGTCCGTATAGAAATAGGCTATAACCGCCCCTTCTAATAATTGTAAAGCTATAGGTAGAATTATGTGTCTCATCACATGTGGTACTAGGTCCATTTTAGAGTATAATTGATATATAGTATGGAATCTTTCATTCTTTACATTGCTGCAATTTATAATGCTCAGACAGATTTTGATGATGGACACTGCCCTTCTTGGCCCAACCAACTCCTGGGACATTACAACGTTTATAGAGCAGTCCATGGTGAAATTCCAGGTAGGATGGGGAAACTGCAGGGATGGTCCATATAAAGAGTGTATATATGATTGTTCATTTAGTAGCCATTGTGACATCGTTCACATTGTCCTCAGCCTGTTCATGTCACAGCAACAAATTGTCTATATAAACAAGTGCTTATTATAGTGACTTGCCTTACCTCTGATAATAGATATCATATGGCTTCATGACAGTTTTTGTTTGTAGGTGTACCAAGTATTGCTAATGCCCCCATTCTCATGCTGAGACCAAGAGCATGGAACATGACAGAACACAACATACTGGTAACAATGACTTGTTAGATTTCTTACTAGCTTTTGATTTGCGAAAGTGAAAACTTTCTCAGTTCTGATTAATATATTATATTAGAAATAATTTGTGATACCCATCGAACATAGAGTGTATGGTGAATCAGTAAAAGCAGGTTAGCAATAATGAAATTAGTAAATCAGTGAATATATATCAGCCACTTTGGCTCGTAGGGTCTATGTCCCCCTGACCTCTGTTTGACCTCGCTCGTTTAGCTATTTCTGACTAACCCTAACCCTAACCCTAATCCTAACCCTAACCCTAACCCTAACCCTAACCCTAACCCTAACCCTAACCCTATATATTATATATTATATATATATATATATTAGTCAGAAATAGCTAAACGGGCGAGGTCAAACAGAGGTCAAGGGGACATAGACCTTATCTGCGCCACTTTGTGGTGTGCTTTAATAGTAAAATAAATGAAAACACTTCATCTTTAAAGACCAGTCCATATAATCACTATCTGAAACCAATTTTGCTTTAATGTCTGTATAGTTTATTTCACACACTAGGAAGAAATTGGCACTGCAATATACTGGCTGAATTGATTTCACAATGTGTACGTGTGATACACAGGTCGATGGGAGAAAAATACCAGGACCACTGTTCGATTTTGCTCTGCTTACGTACCACAATGCAAAGCTGCTCTGGGAATCTGGAAGTGGGCCCTTCTTCTACTTATCAAAGGTATATATGAATACGTATGCTAACTTTGAGGAATGTGGAAGTATGTATTAGAAATTAGTATGTATCTAATTAGAAACTAATTACAATTTTATGCATTATGGGTAATTATGGGATCAATAATATTATTTGTGATCATTTAAAATACTGTTATATAATAGAAATTGATGTCATGTTCAGTATTTTGTCCTAATTTCTTGGAGGGGAGTAAATAGGATATCTGAAGCACATAACATTTACAGGTGGAAAGCTATATGGAGGCACGTCTGTGGAACGAACTCTTCATCTGGTCTCAGAGCAAGGTACCTATATGATGACACATTTAAACCGCTATAAGGAAGTCATGTTAGCACTCAATCTTTATATTTGTTCTTTTGCTGTTGTTCTGCTTCGTTTGAACGCTTTTATTTGTATAATTTTTATTTTTATTTTTGTGTTATTTTATTAATTTATTTGTCCAATTTAGTGTTACTTTCCATTTGTCCCACCATAAAGCCCATTATGTTACTGTGTTTAAGCTTGGGTTGCCACGTGGCACCATCAAGGCAACAGTACTCATTGAGAATGTATTGGCTGCGTTTGAGATGCATGAGATTCTGTATGAGCTGCGCGAACATTCCGCTGGCCTCAACTGTGGCATCTGGGACTACTCTGCGTCATTCATCAACAAGTTCGGTGTGTATATCTTGACTAGATGGTTCTGCAGTCAGGCAAGCAAACATACACTCGGGTTACTGTACGTTTCAACCAAAGATGCAGGATTGTCACGATTGTCCTGGTTTTCACAGACAAGCATGTTGCTGTATAAATACTGTCCACACTGTCCACTGAAGGCTGTGAGTTCAAACCCCGGCCGGGGCAGTGAATTTTCTCAAGGTGTAAAAACCTGGCTCTCAACATTGTAGACTGTAAATCTCCCGTGGCTCGGATGACCACGTAAAATGGCGGTCCCGTCTCCAGTAATACTAAGGCCAATGGGGACGTAAAAGAACCACTGAGGGCGCAAAAAAACTGGCTGTGACCACCCTCAGTGCCATTCGGCTAAAGGCTAACTACCTGGCTTTACCCAAGCTAGGTCACACCCCATGTAGCTATAGCCCTGCGTTATCATCCACGTAACCGTGGGCTACGCAGTAAACTATCCAGAATACCTGCCTGCCAGAGGGTTATCGTAGCTAGTTGCTGTGCAATACATTTTCGCTGTTCGATACTTGTAAAACTGTACTACTTATCATTGAGCAAGTTTTTTGATTAAAACTCGAGAGTTGTAATACATTTCTGTTAATAGGTGGGAGACGGGAGTTCATCCTGCCTGATCGCAGCAAGTACGTAAATATGCAGAGGCATTTTCTAAAGTCATACATGGACCTTGTTATCCAAACTTGTCACCAGAGGGGGACACTGGCTACTGGAGGAATGTCTGCCCTCCTGCTACCAAAAACTGAAGAAAATACGAATGGGTAATTCACCAACTTACTCAATATACCTTTTTTCTACTTTCGGCGGAAGGTGTATTGTACATTAAGAGTCTGATCAACACCTATTTTCACAGATACCATGCAGTGCTGGAGAGGGTTGCGAGGGAAAAGCTGCAAGAGATAGAGGCTGGTGTAGATGGCTTCATGGTGTTTGACCTTGGGCTGATCCACCCTATGCAGCAGGTATATGACACCTTGTGCATTCCACATAAAAATTATATATATATATATATATATATCAGTGGGAATTATGGTAGTCCATACCAAATATACCCTGTTGATACCAATCATGATATAAAACTGCTATTAGAGCTGTTAAGTAAATGTTGTGAAATATTTATGTAACCTCCACAAAGCATCAATATAAATATGATATGTGGAGGTTACATAAATATTTCACAACATTTACTAATATAAATATATATTAGGTATGTACTTGTGCATAACAATAGCAGGGTGTGGCAGGTGGCAGCTGACATTTGATAGAAGTATATTGGTGACTAACATACTGATAGTTTAAAATGCAAGTCATTAAAAAGTTTTTCTCTCTGTACTTCGATCTGTACTCTAATTTCCAAGGTATATCATGCAGTGGCTAGCAATTACCAAGTCATTTGGGTATAAGAATAAAAAGTTATCATGACCTATTATATTTTTATAATTAACTTGTTATTATAATTACTTATAATGTAGTAACTTATAATTACTTTGTCATGCCTTGTGTAGAAAATATTTTGCACTGCCTCAGTGAAGGTGTGGCCATGACCATGATAATACAGGTACGTCTATTTTGTCTTAATTGCAGTTATTTGCGAGGTTTGCACCAACTGACAACCAGTTACATGTGAAGCGAGAAAATGTTAATGTCACACGGAAAGATCTACTTGAGATGCCATCTGGTGGGGTGACATTAGAAGGACTGAAGCACAATGTTTCTGTAGGAATCTTGTTCATCGAGGCCTGGCTGAGAGGTATGTGTAGTCGTAACCTGGAGTGTGAAGTAGTGATGAAGTGAAACACCATTTCTTTCTCATAGAAATTACTGCAAATCTGCATCGTTAGATTGAGAAAATGACCGAGTATGTAAATGTTTACTGTTATCTTGTACAGGAAAGACTATGGTTAAAGCATAAGTCAAATAACATCAGATTTATTATTGAAATACTCAGCAGACAGCCATGATGGAATTCAGTCCTAATATCAGAACGAGGCTAATAGTTCCAAGAGCTATGCTTAGATGGCGCTAGCTGTTATTAATATTACACACAACAATGACAAATTGGTCATTTATTTGATATCGATATCGATCAGAGATGTGTGCAAGTTTTGTGTTCTACTTCTAGGTAAAGGCCATTTTTTTTACAAAGGAAGGGTTGAAGACTCCGCAACAGCAGAGATATCCCGTTCACAGGTAGAATATATCACAACAATTAAAATATAGGGTCCTTTGGTCACCTATGGCTATGTAACCAGAAATAATTACATAATATTAGCTCTGCTTAATGTCAAAATCCAATTGACAACATGATGCTAACAGACCTTTCATAACATATAACATAATTACAATCAAAATCCTATATCAGAACCACTCAACGGAAATTCGAAGTTTGGGTGTTCTTTATCGACAAATAGGTGTTCTATAGTAGTTGTTTCATCATAAAACTGCCTCTGTAGGTAAATGGAAACAGTGTCTCTTTGAGACAGCTAGCCATTCTATAGAGATGTGTACCAGCACGTTTTCTATACACATAAATGTGTCCATTCATGCAATACCTATTTGCGGCAGGTGTGGCAATGGTTGAGGCACTGCACGACCTTGGAGAACAGTGACAAGGTGGTGAGTCGTCACCTCATACGAAAGCTGATATCAGAATTTATCTCAGACACGCTTGCAAACTCCGACTTTCAAGCCAACCCACAGCAGCAGCTCCCTCTAGTGACGGCAGCGACAATCTTTGAGGAGGTCGTGACACAGCGGTACTTCACGCAATTCATAACAACCTATCTAAGTGAGGCTCACGAGATGCAAAAACAAAAGAGCTTGCCACACCCCCTGGTGAGCAAGCTATGAACCTACCACTGCAGTAGGTTATCTGCTAATGAAGTTGCAAGGTTCTATGTTTATTTTCCAGATTCATTCAGATTAGATTTCTAGGTTTTTAGCTCAGCTGACGAAGTCAGATGCAGCTTGTAGAATCGCATGAATGTCCGTCCGTGCGTGCATGCGTCCGTGCGTCCGTCCGTCCGTCAACAGTTGGGCACAAATCTTTACCGCTCGACGTACGGTCTTGATATTCGGGACGTCGGGGGGGGATCGCAAAAAGGACTCGGGATGTCGAATTTGGGGGGGGGGTCAAGGGTCAAAGGTCAAGATGTGTCAATGGAGGGGGAATATTTCCCCCTTAACTTAAGGTATAGGAGGAAATACGGAATTGCGGCACAAATCTCAACCGCTCGACCTACGCTCTTAATATTCGATGTATAGTGTGATGGGGAGGAAACCCATCACCAGCCTGAAATTGGAGGTCACAGGTCAAAGGGCAGTGGGGAAAGGTTAGATATCAGACATTTTCTGAGGACATGGTCTAACGGACCTACCATTTTTATCACTTTATTGAAAGGACCATGAAATGTACTTTCCGCTGACGTGCGAAGAGTAAGTGTCTGATAACCTTTTGACCCTCAAGAGGAGGGTTAAACATGGATTTGTTGACTGTTAACAAAGGACTGAACTGCTTTTGCTATTAGAGCCCCCTCACCCCACCCTCCCCCCACCACCACTACGTTCGCGCTCGACGCATATCCATGATAACATGTTAATATAGCGAAGTCATTAAAGTTACACAGCTGTATCTTTATTACTGTACTACCGGTATAGCAAAGCCTAGCTATCATAGATTTTAGATCTCTATTAGTAGTATCCTAGATAATATGCTCTGAGCGCGAGGTCGCACTTGATTCGGTTGCCAGTGAGTTTATCAGAAGAATACCCGGCTACAGTACACGTCAGTTGAGCGCTGTCGCTCTGCGGCACTTGTTTTATTTTCCTGTTTCTCCAAGTTTGCACTGAGGGGCCATGATTCACAACCATAGATTGCAATAGAGTTTTTTAGTGCATGGAATTGCAAGGTTCTATGTTTATTATCTCGATTCATCCAGATTCGTTTTATTTTCCAGATTATTTGTGTTCTAGTTTTTTTAGTGTAGCCAGTCGAACACTTGCTGTCACGAGTTGATGCTAGAGCTAGCAAGTAGACGCACGCATATGCTGCAGTCAGAAATGTTTTATAACTTGAAAGTTTAATAGACCATATAACAGGTAAACGTCGGCACCCGCACAACCACCAATTACAATTAAGAAAAACTAGTATACATTGATTAACGTTACAGCAATACCGTAGATTAGGCCCTCTTTTCTTCGGCTTCTGCTTTTTCTGCTTCTCTTCTTCTTCGGCTTCTTCTTCCTCTTCCCCAGCCACACGTGCCTCTCAAACACAAACTTCACCCACTTCTCTGGCCGCACGTCTCTCTCTCAGACACAAACTTAACCAGTCTATCTCAAACAGTAACTCCACAGGTCTATATCAGACACTTCTCTACCCGGCTATCCCAGACCATAACTCCACACGTCTATCTCCAGACAATAACTTCACCTCTCTCCCGCATGTTTCACCTAGCCACCTATCACGCGTGTGAATCACCTAGAGCATAGTCCCGATAATCTAGGTCACGACTCGTAAGTAGATCCCTGTCACTTGTGACACTTGCTATTGTTAGTATGGTCGACTACTGTCTGAAGGGACATCCTAGACATGTAAAGAATCTCAAAAATCTACATTGCCCGAGACTGGTCGATTTTTCTCAGTTAATGCTTCTCTTGAAGCTATGAGATAATTGTTTAATAATCGTATTTAATTTCCGCCTTCGATATAGTCCCTTGGACTTTGAAGACTAATACTTAGGTTATTTACGAGGTTAATCAGAACTGTGGTTATGTATTGTTTGCACTATTGTGATAATCAAGTCATGTAATCTGTACTGGGGACCAAAATGTGATAATGGTTGGTAACTGTCTAATTGTTATTTGAATGTCGTTATTGTAATATTAAATTCAAATTTCATTCGAACTGTTGCTTTCACTCGACTTATTTTCAGCCCAGAGGTATATCCAATAATTCTGATCGGAAGGGGTCATTTCCATGCTGAGCATATTGAGGGTATATTATAGTAGGGTTTTGCATGGAGAGGATCGGGGTATTTCCTTCCTCCAACATTTTCAGGTATGTGTTTGTAATCCGACAGATTTCGACTACATTTTTTTGGTGTTGAAGTACTTTTATTCTATTTCACTGAAGAGAAATGACGTGCAAAATTTACTTTGATGTATTTAAACACAGACAACTTTTTGCCAAGCACTGTAAGAATCAGGCCAGCGATCACAGAAAGGGTTTTTGGCCCCCTGGACTCCTCTCCGGATCCTATTAAGTGTGCACGCACCCAACCACCCACCCACCCACCAACGCAGGCACACGCACATGCATACAAATTCTGGCCCATGCACACCACTAATATCGACGATATATAAAGGTCGAGTTCAATGACATGCAATCACATTTAAGTCATCGAATCTTTGCAATTAATTCTTCAAATTGCGCGAGAAGAACGATCCGGAGCAGGTTGATATATACACACACTGCACTGACCGACTTTTGTGTTTCATCTTTGTATTTTTGCTATCGCACGTCGCAACGTCGTGCTAACCGTAGGCATATAGTGCCGTTGAATGCGACCAGACAGCTTATGAAATCATGCACGTAGCTATTAACCGATTCTTTTTATATTAGGTTCTATTTCGATTAGTTCTACTGCAGAGGTAGTTTAAAGTCTATGCCAACAACCTTTACACGGCCATGACTTAGTGCCTATGAATTGCGCAGACAGGGTGGGGAGTGTTAACCCATGAAGTCACCCAAGAATACGGTGCAATCAGTTGGATTTTTTTTTACTTATCTATTGCGACCAAGACCTATTTTTGCATCACCGAAAAATCGGGACTGCAGTCACAAAAAGGGGGTGCGGACATGCAGGACGCCACTCTGTATCTGCGCCTGCAACCATTATCTTACAGTGAAGAACATTATTCTTTCAGCACTCTCAAAAAGGAGTAGTGTAGCACGCACGCACGCACACACACAAGCAGACGCACATTCTGGGTTCACATTCAAACTCATTTATTAATAAAAATTTGAGCAGTTTTGCTTCCAAAGAAATTCCACAACTACAACTGCTAAATAAAAGCTCTATACAAGCGGTAATGCACAGTTTACTTGTGATGCGGCGTGAACTACTCTCTCCCACCATCGGGTTAATACCAGTGATTTCAGGTTGATTAATATGTAACACGAGGTAGGATTTTGACGCGAATCCCTGTCCCCCCCCCCATTAAGTCTATGCATAGCTTCAAACGATCTGCCTAAGAACAGTCGAACGTTCATATTTTCTGATGCTGGGCATTTCCTGCAAATCCCTTCGTGGTGACCTCTATCACTTGGCTGCTGTTATTCTTGAGTACCGCTGGCATTCTTTGCAATAACCCGCATTGCTTGCACACATCCAGACGCATGCGCAAGATTTCGCCAACATGTCAAGATCCTAATGCACTGCTTTTACACAGGCGACCAATTAAATGTGCGACCAGAAATGACGTCGATTTCTCTCCGACTGATAAGCCGAAAACGAGTGCACCAGCAGCATGGGGGAGGGGGGAAGCAGCGACGTGAGGCGCAGATCTATACGGGTCGTATATTCTCGTAACATTCACAGGTATATCTGTGCCTGCACGGAGCTCATTAATGCATTATCACTGTCAAACAGACTTGTATTTGAGTAAGACTGAAATCAAAATGAACTATCAGCACATTTACCACGAAATGCCTATGCACCAGGGTAAGTTTCTGCACATCGATTGATTTAAAATTCGTTTGCATATTTAAATACACCCGTTTTACGATCTTCGTCGTACAGCTCATAATCCTGTCTTTTCGTCTGGTGTCACACATGATGCCAGCAGAATCCAACTGCACCAACACTTTTAACTCGAAATTTTGACAGTTACGAAATTATTGGTTTCACTAGCAAAGGAAAAGTTGCTATTTATTATGGCATTAAACGCTGTTATTAAACATATATTAACAGCTACATCTAATCACACTTCACAGAGAACTTGCATTAGATATTTTTTAATCAAAAGTTCTTTGTCGAGCAACAACAATGTGCTCAACTGTATATCACTGAGAAAAAATGTAATTTATAATGACATGGTTTCACTGCTACAGTTTATTATAACGTCGCTTATAACGAGAGGATCAGTTCTATACAAATCTCTATATTTCATAGAAAATGATAACTTATTTCGCACTCTGCCTCGTCTCAATTTTATTCTCATGGGCATAACATTGCGCACGTTTTCTCAAGGTAGAGGCTGCTCGGGGCTGCCTTAGCTATTTTACTAGTGTCAGTTCAGCACACCCGATGAAGGGTTCAGGGACACCACCTAAACCATTCTCATTCACTAACATGCACACATACACGCACGCGCTCCCAGAAATGGACTCGCACATAACCAGCCACGCATGCGTGCGAGCAACATGGATCGGACTGCCACTGGCTGCAGTAGTAACGAATTCTATCAAAGCCTATCAAGAATAAGTTGCCACTTTGCACCACTAATCACGTTGGCTCATCTTTACTCTTGCTCTCATTCAATAAACACCACACCATCATAAAGACGTTTGCATGCCGACATTAGGGGCACACTACACCTTTTACAAGGCGACATACAAAAGCATCGCAGCCTACGTGACCACCCTGCGGTAGCACGACGTGCTGGAGACAGTGGCTAGCGTTCCCCTACGCATCCGGTTTACAGGTGAAATACTCACCGATTGCATTGACTAGCTGAAGATCACTTCGCCACTACCTCACTCGCCATATGTACAACAACGTATCACGCTATTGTCTTCCTGACAGCGCTGTTCACTTGTCGGCACACCTTCCACAACAATGCATCAGCTAACCAGCCCTGATATTCTGGAACACTATGCACATACGTGCCAATTTTCATCAGGTTTACCATGCTAAAAGCTGCTGTGAATCTACAAGGAAATAATTTTGTTCAACAGGGTGCAGTTAAAAAACGCAGTGTTCGAGTTATACTACTTTGTAACTTCCCAGCATGCTTGCGTATTTGTGGACGCACCACGACACACACCCCATGTCGCCGTCACATACACACAGCACCTTAAACATCTACACATTTTGATAAAGTCTGCCACGAGGTTCACTGTTGGGCGTTGCCACTTATATAAGTCTCTTTCTCACAGAGAACGCATGGAATTGCCGTCATTGTCATTGGTGCCAGCTGCTGCTCTGTGCACAAGCGATTCGTTTTCAGACCGAGCCGGATTCCAAGTATGAAAAATATGCACACACTTCTTCAAATACGTTAGCAGCGCTCCCTGCATGACCCCGTCAGCAATCATCACGACTCGTAATCTGGCTGCTGATCGTTGATCACTGTGCTGCTATTAAAGTGGTTGCTGCTGCAGTTAGCTGGGGGCGAGCCAAACGCAATAGCATTCGGAAACAACTTGTGGCACTTGGCTTGAAATTCAGTCACCTTCTCCTGACAGACCCCAAACTCATTGCTCTTCATCGCCTCGACGATGTCAGCGCAAACCTGGGGGCAGAAAAATAGAAACGATCAACTCCGCGATCCGCACGGAACCCGGAAAGATGTCAGCGTTCGCACGTGAAATCTTACAAACTTGTGATAATTATATACATATACTGCGCAGGTGCATACATACATGTGAATCTTTCCCCTCCAAGGTTCCGTTGAAGTTGACAAGAAGTGAAAGGGCGCCTTCTCGTGATTTAGGGTCCAGTAGCGACATCACTCTGGCAGCTTGACAAAAACGTGTGCATTAATTTATCAGATGATGATCAATAATATATTAAAAGGCACTCACACAGGTACAAAATTAAAAGTGAATTCAGCTGTGTTATGAAATGGAGCTCATGCATATTTTTCAATCTGCAAACTGGTGAATATATGCATTAAGTGGATAGTAAATTGGCCAAGTGCTGGGTACTTAGAAACGCTGATGGAAAAGCATGGTTGTGGTGTAAAAGTTCGTGCAGAATGTATCTAAAGTGATAAAATTTCACTGCGTATGTAGACACATGCTAGTCACCTGCAAACGCATGGGGAAGCGAGGTGCCATTCCTCTGTAGGTAAGCATCGTTTAACGATGTTAGCGAGTCGGCGCTGAACATTCCGTTAGTTGCCGTCTCCAGCGCCGCGGACACAGTCTCCGGTAGCGCCCCCTTCTGTTCTTGCACTACAGAAGAAACAACACACCCGCTTTGCTTGTTAACAACTGTAATGTTAAATTCAGTTTACATTTATTGTCGCTGATACAGGTTGTTATGAGAATATACCGGTGAAGCATGTTGCAGTTGTTTGAGAGAGAACAAAGACTGTTCTCGTGGTAGACAGCCGTTTTGTATAATAAATTACGTACATATAAATATAAATATATACAAGACGTGACTGAACAATTATAACTGCACAGAGCTCTAAAATAATATAGAAACATTGTATTGACAAAAAGTAATCACTTTTTTCCTGTTTTTCTATTTTTTCAAATATATTTTCATCATGATCGTTATTTTAAGTTGCTTACTTTTGCGGAGGAATTTGATGAGGCACAGGTGCAGCTGTGGATGGTTAGGATCGATTCCACGTGCACGCTTAATCGATTGGAGCATCAGTAGTAGTTTGTCTGTGACAACACGACATAAAACGCTGTTCACCGACTTACAAACAATGTTTTCATTTTCTAAATGTTACCCTACAGCATATAAACATGTAATGATAGTGATAACCAGGCGACAAATTCAAAATAGAAAATCAGCAAATGCAAAATGAGACGGAGAACAATTACTAACCAGAGATCTCACAGATCTTGCTTACCTTTCCTATAGAAAATTTCAAAGGCTAAGATATGTGTCTCTATGCTGTTGGGACAGAGCATCTGCAGGGGCTTGAGAAACCGGATGGCTTCACTCAGAGGGTCGCTCGGCTGAAAGACCAGAGAATGTAAGATCAAAGAAACAAACGACCAAACATATGAACTGCACCTCACGAACGACCAACTCTCTGTCATACCCCGACCAGCTTTTCCTGCAATTACATTCATGAAGCCAGTAAAAATGGGAAAAAATACTGCCGTCTACCATACCCTGGCCAGCTTGTCCGGCAGTAGCTCCTCCTCCTTGGGGCCCTCAACCTCGTCGTTCTGCTGCCGAGCCTTGTTGTGCTGCTCCTTGCGCTCCTGCTGCGCTCGCTGCCTCTCCTTCTCCTGCTGCAACTTCTTCTTCTCCTTCCTCATTTTATTCCTCATCTTCTTGATTTCACTTGGATTCAGGTTCTCTGAAACAGGTCGCAAGGATTCGCATGCATGTCAATTCTCATTCGGAGTTCCGTATGCAGTAAAACTGTTAACATAAGTAATATCGTTAAAAATATTATCCATTGCGGAAATGAAACTCGCTTACTATATCCCGTATGTGTCGCAATGGGTGGTCCAAATGATAATAGAAGAACACGACGTTTTGTCGTCGCGCAGTACTGGACACTTCGTCAGGTGATGCCGCGACGTGCGCGTGAGTTTTATATATCCCCCGTTGGATTGAGCGGTACAACTGCTGGACAGGCGCTGCTGTGATTGGCGGTCTGACGCATGATGTTTTCTTGCGCCGTGCCGCGGCGCGTGCGCGCTGCAAGTTCCCGCGTCGAAATCGTCTGCTAGCGTTGGCTGTAATCTCACCTGTTGTGGGTCTGCGCGTGTTTGCTATCGTAACGTGTGATTCATGGCGGCGTATCGTTGACATCCAGAAATTGGGATATCTAACCGTTGTCTCTGTTAAAGTTGTTAGGGCGGAGACGAATGTTAATGCTTCTTTTACCTCCGTGTGTACCAGTGTCGCTCTTGGCGAGGCACTGTATCCTTCCCAGTCAGGCTGGTGCTGGTTCTCCCATGCGTGTTCGGCCACTGCTGAGTTTGTCGGTTCGAAGCAGCCTAACATCCCTCTTGTGTTCCGTAATCCTTCCGCTATAGGTCGGGCTGTTTCACCGATATGGATCCGACACACCCTTGACAAGGGATGTTATACCCATGCCGTCGCGTCTGTGTTCAGGCACTGGATCCTTTGGGCGTACTAGAACGATTGGCAGCGGATATCGCGCGAAGCGCTCAATCGCCAGCGTAGTGGCGGCACGTTACTCAACATCGCTGCTTTTACCCAACGAAGTATCGCGCGGTCCTTTCAGGAGAGCAGGAAGCCGCGGCTTTCTCGCTCTCATCGGCTAGTTCATCTGCGCATAGCCACGAGGGATCGCACTACCACCGTTAGGATAGAAGCTGTAGAAAAGCTGCCAATTCTTATGTTCGTTACTTAGGCGCGTTTTGTTTGCTGTAATAACGGAGGTTTTTGTTCACATTGTAATAATAGTTAATGAGTAGCGTTGACCTTGCTGAGCTTTAGACGATAACGAATATAAGGGGTGGAACGAGGCTGTAAGATAGCGTTGCTTTAGGGCATTTTTCGGTTCGCCGTGTTGCTCGG